ATCCCTAATATTAACCCCTTGACTGTAGCAACCTCCAATTCTGAGGTGTCTCCTGGTGTCACAAAATTTAAAAAAAAATAAAAAATTCTTTTGAAATGATAGAGAATCTTTTCCCAATTGTAATGGCACACAAAAAAAACTAAATTTGATGGAAAACTAATGGAATTACGCTCTTGCGAACTTAGCGACCTTGGCGATATTTACAAATCGGTGATTTCGCCCACTTTGAGCCCTATTTTCGGCTAATTCTATTGTTCCAGTTGACCAAACTCAGCTATTTCTTTAGAACTCCGTTTTTTCTATCGATTGAGTACAAGAAACTGCCCATTTACCGATTTCAACTACTCAATAACGTGGTCAGAAATTTGCAATTTGGCCAATTTCACGAAAATTAAAAAATATGACAATTTCAAAATAAGGTCCAGAATGAACAATGCAGACATTCCTGGCTCTAAAATAACATTTTCTTTGTTCATCAGTCACATCTCCAGGCCCCTCTGATATTACTCTTGCTTTCTATTTTGAATTTTTATTCAAACGAAAAATATATTTACTATTATGCAGACTACTGCAATACTGTAATAATTGTACAAATAATGTCAACCCATTCATGACTGCATATCAGAATGACTAGTTGGACATTTATTGGGCAATGACATCTGTTTACTTTTGAACATTGGCAAAAATCAAACATTTCCCCTACTTTGAGCTCCATTTCCAGGTTCTTTTTATAGTAAAACCAATCAAAATCGCCTCTACCTCTATAATATGTTTTCCATTCTATCAAATGAGACCAAGAAAATGAGAATACAACCATAAATACTATACGAAAATAGACCACAAAGTCGGCATTTTAATTAAAATAAAGGTCGGATTTTTTTTTTCTCATTATGCACTGCATGCTCCAGGATTTTTTTATATGGTGCACACTGACCACACAGACCCATTCTTTCACATGTGGGCCTACCAGCTTTCTCCTGCTTGATTTGAGGCTGCTAGAATTTATGAGTAGTATATACACGTCAAACGGTACCTCTTAAGACGTATATATACGACCAAAACAGTCAAAGGGTTAAGCATTCATATGTTACCTAAATTTTGGAAAAAATCAGTTCCAGTTGTCCATTTAATAAAATGGACTGGCTCCGCCTAATCAAAGATTTTACAGTCTGAGGTCTGTCCTGGACACGTCCACTTTTATTGTTCCTGGACAGAGATGCCAGTAACTGACCATGTCAGTGTTGTATTGTCTGTGCGTGCATTCACACCATTTCATCTCCAATTTTTCCCCTGGATTTGCTGTTTTTAATTTTATTGATATACAGTGTTGTTAACAATGACCTCTACAGCAAGAGATAGTGACAAGAAGATTATCAGAGGATGGCATTTCAGTGACCCGGGTGCATGAGGAGTATGGCCCAGCAAAGCAGTGTCTGACATTTGTAGAAGCAAGGAAAAGCTTACACTATATTCTATTAAGCACAGTGTAGATGCTAGACTAAAGGTTTTTTAGTTACTCTTGGGAAGTAAATGAAAATGGCCCAAGATATAACACCTAGGTACATATTTCCTGATAGATGAACAGGTGTAATACATGCACGATGACATACTCAAATCCTGATACATTCTGCCTCACCATCCTGATACTACCACTGTTATTCTTGATGCTACTGCTACAGCTTTGATGCTGGCAGCAGTGCTGATACTGCTACTAGTGAGCATGGGCTGCAGGCGTTAGCAGAAATTTCCCCGCCATTTTGCCTCACATAATTTTGTTGGTCACCACTGGTGTTGGTGATGGCAACAGTTCTGCTGTTACTTCTACTTCAATGCTGCTGCAGGCCAAGGTGCAGGTTGATGCTGGGACTGATGTTGCTACTAATAGTGCATGTTATTGCGTGGTAAAATGCAACTCCCTGACTTGCACCACAATCAGTTGACTGGAGGTTAATATCCAATATCCAGAAGCAAAGGCAGATGATGGGAAGATAAGTTGCCACATAGCGGGAGATTTGCAAAAACAACACTTGTAAGGCTTTCTCTGATGCTCTTATAATGCACCTTAACACAAAATGCGTCTTTCTAATGCCTTCATGACTCACGAAACCATAACATGACTGCCTGTCTACTATGCTCTAGTTTAGGGATACAGATAGCTTCATTAAAAGAAAGCCAAGTACAACTGAAAGTTCATGATAATATTGAATATCTAAATACATAACAGAACCAATGGCAGATCTGCTCCCTCACAGATTACTAACAACTTGTGAATATGAGACTTGAGAAATAAATACAAAAGTATATAAATAAAAAAGTGGAAGTCTTTATCAGCAAATTTTCCTGGGAATAAGGAACTGTTTTTGACAAACGAACACAGTAAGGGACTGGCAGTTAAGAGTGAGTAATGAGATATTAGATTTACAAAAAAAAAGGAAATACTATAGAGGAAATATTTTTACTTAAAAGTGAATGATAACAGGCAGGTAATTATTTCATGCACTGGACTGGCAAAACAGAATGGTAAGAAAGAAAAACAAGCTGTCAGAGAGAAATAGGATATTAGGAGGAGAAAAATACCAAAGGTGATCTTGGAGGAAAGGGGTGAGGCAGTGTACACATTGAAGGGGGTAAAGAAGTAGGGGTGGATGGAATTAGGATGGAGATACTAGAAGAAGGGGGGGCAAGTACTTTTGGTTGGCACATCACTGTCTCATGACTTACTATATAAGAGCATATTTAATAAACACTAATTTGGAAAGATTTCCTTAACCCTTGCTCTGTCGAGACCCATGCTCGCAAACTTGCTCTCAGGGTCAAAGAATTTAAAAAAAAAAATTTCTTGTGAAATAAGAGAATCTTTTCCCGATGGTAATGAAACCAAAAGTATGAAATTTGATGGAAAATTTACAGAATTACACTCTTGTGAAGTTAGTGGTCTCAGAAATATTTACACATTGGAGATATCACTCACTTTGAGCCCTATTTTTGGCCAATTCCATTGTTCCAGTCAACCAAACTCATAGCTATCGAACGAGTACAAGAAACCACCAATTTACCATTTCAACTACCCAATAGTGATCAGAAATTGGTAATCTGACTAATATCTTACAAAATTCAAGAAAGGTCAATTTCAAAATAGGGTTCAGAATTAACAATGCAAACATTCCTAGCACTAAAATAACATTTTCTCTGTTCATTAGTCAAGTCTCCAGGCCCCTCTTATATTATGCTTGCTTTCCGTTTTGAATTTTTATTCACACAAAAAATAAGATTTACTGTTATGAAGACTATTGCATTATTGTAAAAATGGTATAAATAATATCAATGCATCTGTGAAAGCATATAAGACCCACCAGTTGACGTGTATTGAACACATAATGTGATTTGTTTACTCGAACTGCAAAAATTGAACATGTCCGCTACTTTTAGCTCAATTTCAAGGTACTTTTAGTCTGTAAAACATTCAATCATCTCTACTTCTGTAATATATCTTCCATTCTATAAATTGAGACCAAGAAAACTAGAATACAGCCATAAATACCATACAAAAATACACTAAGTCACTGACTTAAACCAGAAACCAGGTCGCAGTTTTCTTTTATTGTGCACTGCATGCTGCAGAATTTTTTTTTTATACTGCACACACTGACCACTCAAACCCATTCTCTCATATGTAGGCCTACCAGCCATCTCCTGCAAGATTGGAAGCTGCTAGAATTGTGGCATACTGTTATGGGACTGACACCGGCTTGAAAGTTGTAATATTACTGGACTGACAGTGAAAGGGTTAACCTGGAAAAAGAGCAACTACTGTATTTTACTTGTCAGTTTTTAACAGTTGAAATAAAATTTTACCAATATTAACCCCTTGACTGTCTTAACCCCAAATCCTGAGGTGTCTCCTGGTGTCGCAAAATCCCCCCCAATTATTTTTTCTTATAAAATGATAGAGAATCTTTTCCTGATTGTAATGACACCAAAAGAAGGAAATTTGATGGAAAACTGACGGAATTACGCTCTCGCAAAGTTAGCAACCTCGGCAATATTTACAAACTGGCAATTTCGCCCAGTTTCAGCCCTATTTTCAGCTAATTCCATTATTCCAGTCAACCACACTCATGGCTATTTCTTTAGAACTCCATTTTTTCTATCGATTGAGTACAAGAAACTGCCAATTTACCAATTTCAACCACTCAATAATGTGGTCAGAAATTTGCAATTTGCCCAATTTCATGAAAATTAAAAACTACGACAATTTCAAAACAGGGTCCAGAATGAACAATGCAGGCATTCCTGGCTCTAAAATAACATTTTCTTTGTTCATCAGTCACATCTTCAGGCCCCTCTGATATTACTCTTGCTTTCTATTTTGAATTTTTATTCAAACAAAAAAATAGAAGATTTACTGTTATGCAGATTACTGCAATATTGTAATAAATAATTGTATAAATAATGTCAACCCATTCATGATTGCATATCAGAATGGCTACTTGGACATTTATTGGAAAATGACATTTGTTTACTTTTGAACATCGGCAAAAATCAACATTTCCCCTACTTTGAGCTCCATTTCAAGGTTCTTTTCATAGTAAAACCAATCAAAATCACCTCTATTTCTATAATATGTTTTCCATTCTATCAAATGAGACCAAGAAAACGAGAATACAACCATAAATACTATATGAAAATAGACCACAAAGTTGGCATTTTAATTAGAAAAAAAAAAACACGGAGTTTTTTCCTCATTATGCACTGCGTGCTGCAGGATTTTTTATATGGTGCACACTGACCATAGGACCATTCTCTCACATGTGGGCCTACCAGCTTTCTCCTGCTTGATTTGAAGCTGCTTGAATTTTTGAGTATATATACGTCAAACATAGTGGCTCATAAGACGTACATATGCGACCGAAACGGTCAAAGAGTTAAAGCTTAAGCTGCCAACATGCCTTTACAAAATTCCAATCTCTCTAAAAGTGAACTCACTACATCTACAGCACTCACCTTCCTCGGGATATATAGGTCTAAATGGCCGACGTGCCGTGATTGGCTGGGCAAAAATAAAGGATTCTCCAGCAGGTGCCACAGTTGATGTCTGTGAAGATCCAGTTGGTTGGTCACTACCCTCCTCATCATCTTCACCACCCATCCACCCAGATAGCCAAGACGCTGAAAATAAGCCAGTGACTGAATCTGTCACTCGCCGGATGATACCCTGCAACAAATGAATACATCACAGGTCATTGCCATGGAAAGAAAAATGTATTTATAACCTTAGCAGCTGTATGACTGCAATATAAATGGGTCTCAAAGCATGAGAAACTGAGGCCTGTGTTTAAGCCTCCTAAAATTAACACTGAAAACAAGGTGATATTTCATAGGATGCCTTCGAAAACCATGAAATGGTAGTGGTACAGAATTTAAATTGTCAAATATGAAAATTTCTCCTGATCTGGGTCTTAATCATATATGTATTTTATGACAGGTTAAATAAAGATTTTGGTCATGAAATTGGAGCCATACGTTGGTTTTCCAGTCACTCTAAAATCAAAGATCACGTTATACACAAGATGCAGTGGCAGGATTTCCACAAGCATTTGCTGGATAACAAAAATTACAGTAAATAATGTTCTTGGAGCTAAGCCCATTACTACATTACAAGAACTCACTACACATTTCAAGATATAGATTCATGCCCTTTCTAAGTTGCTATACGAGAGTTAAGAGTGCTCAGCATAAGCTAGTTACCTTTAACCATCTTTTTGGGGATAGAGCCATACTTTGCACAGTACAGTCAATGAGTGTCTGAAAAAATACCGTACTATGCAATACCGTACTGATTAAGTATTATAATGTGCTTCCAACAATACAAATAAATGCCAAACTTGCCAAAAAACTTTTCCCTTCATTGCCATTTTCTATTTTTAACCCCTTCAGGGTCCAAGGCCCAAATCTGAAGTGGTGCCCCAGTGTCCAAGAATTTTCAAAAAAATTTTTTGTTATTTTTTCTTATGAAATGGTAGAGAATCTTTCTGTGAAGGTAATAAAACAAAAAGTATGAAATTTGATGGAAAATTGACGAAATTATGCTCTCGCGAATTTTGATGTGTCAGCGATATTTACGTATCGGCGATTTTGCCGACTTTGACTCCCATTTTAGGCCAATTACATTACTCCAGTCAACCAAATTCTTAGCTATTTCACTAGTATTACTTCTATTCTATCGATTGAGCACAAGAAATCGCCAAGTCAACTGTTTCAACTACAAATTAAAGTGATCGGAAATTGTTAATTTGGCCAATTTAACACAAAGTTCAAAATATTCCAATTTCAAAATAGGGTCCAGAATAAACAATGTAGGTATTCCTGGAACTAAACTAACATTTCCTCTGTTCATTAGTTACGTTTTGAGGCTTTACAAATAAATTCCATTTTTATTTTTTATTCACAATGAATTTTTATTCACACCAAAAAATAGAAGATTTACTGTTATTCAATACTGTAATAATTGTATAAATATCATCACCATATTTGTGAATGCATATTAGACCCACCAGCTGGCGTGTATTAGACGTTTGAGGTCGTTTGTTTACTCTTGAATATCGGCAAAAATTTAACATTTCTGCTACTTTGAGCTCAGTTTCAAGACATTTCCAGTGCTAAAACCAATCAAAATCATCTCTATTTCTGTAATATGTCTTCCATTCTATCAAATGAGACCAAGAAATCGCAAATACAACTATAAAAGACATACGAAAAAACACTGCAAAGTCGCTGTTTTAATCGAAAAATCATGATTTCAGTTTTTTCTCTCATTATACACAGTGTGCTGCAGGATCTGTTTTATGTGGTGCACACATACCACATAGCTGTATTCTCTCATATCTAGGCCCAAATGTACCACTCACAGTTTATCAGAGTGAGCTGAGCTCATGACGTAGATCTACGGTTTGGACCCTGAACGTAAAGTCGTAGATCTACGGGACGGACCCTGACCTGTTGTTTTTAGCCTGAATCATCATCTGACCAAATTAAATTCTTGTCTGGCTGCAGTCTTCAATCATTAAAAGACTTTCTATATTATCCATTTCAGAACTACAATTTTTAACAATCACTTTTGATATATAAAATGCTGTAGCCATTCCATGTCTTTTTATTTTATCTTTATTCCTTATATGTATGTGCACATACCAACGTTCTGTTCATTTTTTTGTCAAGTGCTATTTTAGCATACAATGCACCATCTTAACATTTTATAATTTTTAATTTTTCATCTAATGTTAACCATTTACATTTACTAAAACGTTCAGCATCATGGCATTTTCCCTTTCCACTCATATGTGCATATAAAAGGGGTACCAGTACTATATATAATAAAGAAAAAAATTGTGTACAGTGGCACCCCGAGTTTCGAACTGCTCCCAACTCGACCAATTATGTAAGTGTATTATTGGAAGTGCTTTTGTAAGTGTATTTTTGGGGGTCTGAAATGGACTAATCTAATTTACATTATTCCTTATGCCTTATGGGAACAAATTCGCTCGATAACGGCATTCTAGCAGCCTTCTGGAACGAAGAATGTTCAAAACTCGGGGTACCACTGTATATGCTTGTACTGTATAAGACTATATAACTTCACTGCTGAGTCTGGAGTGATACCGATCATTCACATCAAACTAGTCTGGTACATAGCAGCAGTCCACTATCAGTGCATAATGCAGTTAAATAAAATTTATATTATTAAATTTACTAAATTTATAAACTGTATTATATCAAAACCCGTACTGTATAGAACGTTACAGGTCCGCCATCACAAATCCGGCACTCAGTTAAGTTATTTGGTTCCTTCAGTTATTCGCCACACCAACCTGCTGGTACTGTTTGGTGGCGCTACTTGCTGCGTAAGTCATTCTAATTTCTTTTTCTCCATTTGTTATAACCTGCTTACTTTTAGCCCTAGCCATGGTTCCAATGAATAAAAGAAATGCTTCTCGTTGTGTAAAGCACCTACACAGTACATTGTCCATTAAAGATAAGGTGGCTTTGAAGCCACTGTCGGTTGCCATGAGCTCAGTCTTGTGATGCAGAATATGCTTTATTATTACGCTAATATCAACACTACAGCTTACTACCTATCACAATTGATATATGACATAATATACAATATAAATAACATAAAACTTTTAAAATACCCCTTTTGAAAAATTTTGGCATAATACCGAGCATTCGAAGGAGTAAAGGGGTTATGGTATACAAAAAAGTGGCCCCTCTTTTTTCATAATTAATCCTTCCGGGGGACTCTAAAACAAAAATTTTTTCCCCATAAAAATAAGTAAATAAAAAATTAATCCTTCCCTGACCCCAGAAGTAAAAAAACAAAAATTTTTTTACATAAAAATAACATGTGTACTTTAAACAATACATGGGGAAATGAGAATGAAACTTAACAGCGAAACCCTTTTCCCTTTAGGGAATTTTCAGTGTATGGGAACGGAGGAAGAGTGGATTGTTTATAGTTTGGGAAGGGGAACCCCCTTCCCAAACCCAGGTAAAAAAATTGTTTTCGGGTTGCTTGTCTTCTCTGTTTTTTAAATGCCACTGGGACCACCTTGAAGTCACTTGAGCCTGTTCCGAAAAATAACTGTGGAGAGGTTTTTCTGGCGCTCTTTAACACCCCCTAAAAGGGGCCCAAAGCTTTGTCACGTACATTTTTGCTACATCTTGCAAAAACCTTGTTGGGGTGTGTTTTTTTCCCATAAACTTTCCATCTTACCCCACATAGTAAAAACTCTTTAATTTCTGAAAAAGGCACCTTCTTTCCATCTCTCGTCCTCCTACCTGCAGCAAGTTTCGACGTGATGTGTTCCCTTTTCCCTCTAAAAGCTCTTGCGCCCCTCAGGGGTGAGCTTTTCGTTTGGTGTTGGGGGTTTTTCCACCAATTTTCCAACCCCAACTCAAACCCAAACCCCCAGGGAACCCCCGTGCCAAAACGATTTTACAACAACATGGCTCATCAGAGTCGGTCCCAAAAAACCCTTTCAAAATCCCTCTTGCGACAAAATCCGGCCAAAATTTTCTCCGGGCAGATTCAAAGCCCTGATCACTCCCTCTCAAGCCATACCCATAAGGGGTTTTGCAATGGAGGATGCTGAAGTGTTCTCTCCAAAATTCTCTTAGGGTCAAGCGAGTGTTGTGGTCACAATCAAGCACCTTTAAAAATTGCTTTTTTGTAATTTTTTTAAAAAATTTGCAATGACCTGGGGTCCTGGGCTGGAGGGGAGGAGTGTATTCGGGCAAGAACTTTACGTGTGAACCAAACTCCTCGAAAATTAGGGCATCCCAAGTTTTGGGGGATGAGCAGTCCCTTGTCCATTACTGCGGCACTTTAGATCCAAATTTTTTTTCCAGGAGATACTCCCTTTACACAGGGCCAAACACTTCATTGAACCCCTTACGAAAATTTTTCCCCCATACCCATGCCTTTCTATTAGATTTCCAAAACCACACAATTTTCTTTCTAACATTGTTTTTCCTGAACACACTGGATTTTCGAAGGTACCTAGTAATGGCTTTACTTTGAAAAAACCCCCCTAGCATTAGCCAGAAATTAGCATCCCTTCTTTCTGGTTGTGTCCTGGGATTGCCCCTTCCTCTTGTGTAACGAAGGTCCCTTCGGGATTTTCTTCCAAAAAGGCCGTTTTTTCACAATGAAAAACTTGTTAGGTTTCAGCCTTCCCTCTATGTACTCCTGGAATTCACACTATTTTTCAGCTGGGTTTTTTTTTTCGTCCCATAAACAGCTAGATAAAAGGGATATCTTTTACTCCCCACTTACATTTGGCACACTTCAAGACCGCACAGCATTATTTTTATTACATACATCTAGTTTTTCTCCCTTTTTTTAAATAGCTTTTGCCCTTTTTTTTTTCTTCTATTGTCCATGGGAAGGGGGAAAGAATTTTTTCCCCCGTAACCCATGCTGTGGTGGCACAAAAATGCCGGGGAGCAATGGGCTAGTAACCCCTTTCCGTATACATTTACAAAAAAAAGAGAAGAAGAAAAACTTTATAAAACGGGGTTGTTTAAAATGTGCGGGGTTTAGTGCGGATACAAAAACAGAATTGCTGATTTTATGAATGAAAAGAAGGATGCCGGCTCTAAGCGAAAAAAAAGCTAAAGGGGGGTAGAATTTTCAGGGGGGGGAAAAAAAATGGG